GACTACTAGCCGCATCAAGGTTCTGTTGTCTAACCAAGACCCTTCCGACTCATGGGTTACCTTAGTTATTAAGTATATATATATATTGTACTAATGCATTGGATGTTTAATGATGCACCGTATGTACCCCCATAAACTCGATTCTAGCTAATGTACTAGGCATAGTCTTCCACTCCTCTCTTCCAGCTTTGTTTGTTTCGATCTTCTGCATCTCGGGTGTACCTGCGAGCCCTAGGATCAAGTAGAGACAAGAGACCAAACAGTTGCACAAACATAGCAATAACATTCTCTTAAAGTAGGCAACAATCCCTTTATGCACGCACATGGGGCTGCAAGACTACACCGCTGCCCTTAGCCCAAGGGGGCTACTAACACATCGCGAAGAGATCAAAAACAAAAGACACTGTAGACGAAGATATCTTAAGATGAATGATTAAAGTCTTACAATGCCTCTAATTGTGATTTACTCTCGATTACAGGTAATATGACTAATGGAGATGGAGGTAATGGTGGTGGGGATGATGATGGCTATAGAGATGGTGGCGACTATACATGGGAATGGTGCGAGTAGCTGGTAGGGTGAACTTGGCAAAACTCCAGAACTCTTCTTTCCAAAGGATTTTCTTCTCCTTATATAGTGCAGACGGACGAAATTGGGTTTTAGGGCGTCTCTGATGCGAATCATCCCTTCCCTTCACGGAAGTTGTCAAATACAACGTCTCAGTGGTGGCGCCACATGGTCGCATGCCCTTTTCTCCTCTGGAGACAGCTGCACGCGTGTCCAATTGATTGGCATTGATGCCCATATCTGCAAGAACATAAATAAAGATGGAGATTTGTAATTATATTATTTATTAGTCATTAGTAGACAAATCGAAGTGATGTATCAAAATTGGTTGTGAAAATCCGGTTTAAACATGTGTAAAAATGAAGGGAAAATTACTACGCCGAATGGGGCGGTGCCAATTACCAAATCATATTCCCATTTTGCAGTGACTATGACGACGACACATCTTCCTAGTCACTAAAAGTAAGTGATCTGTGCACTTATAGGGTCACACACGCGTCGGCAATTTTTCTCTCGGCGACGTGAACCTAAGCTGCTACGAGCTACAAGGGTTTCGACCTTCATATTGTATTTTGTTGGTAACACGATTTCGGTGCGGGGGTTGGACCAAGAAGGTGCTTGCGACTACAGATCTGGTATCCAAAGCAGTTTTCCCGGTCAACTTCATGTACAGATAAGTAACAATATAAAATGGGTGAATCAATTTTCGTAAACGCTCAGCTCCCGTAGCTCAGTTGGTTAGAGCGTTGGTCTTATGAGCCGAAGGTCGCGGGTTCGAGCCCCGCCGGGAGCACGAAAACAATAACCGTCATGGAGAGTATCTTTGTTACAACTAATATTTTTTGTCTCACGTGCTAGCTTGGTAATGATTCAAAAATATTGATAGATTTAGGGTTTATATTTTATGGTCGGGGCGTGTGCAATTACCTATTGTGGCACAGATCATGACTTCATGGACCCAGTCTTTTGCTTAGGGATTTGTTCTACATAATTATATGTTAACTTCAAAATTTGAATTATCAAGTGTCATACATTAAGAGGTTTTTGATTAATAGAGCAGGCAGTGAAGCCCGCCCCGCCCCCGCGTCGCTCCATCAGGGGCGACACGGGCGGCTAACCCTAGCCGCCGCCGGCGGTCCCCCTCCCCCTTCTTCTCCTCCTCGTCGCCACTAGAGGAGCCGCCGATGCGTCGCGCGGCTGCCGAGGAAGGTGGCGGCGAGGCCTTCATCGTCCCTTTGCGGAGATCTGGATCCACGGGGCGGCGGCCCCTGCTGGTTCGGCACCGCCGTTCGCGCTCTGGACGGTGTGCGCGGGGACTCTGCCCGGCGTCCTCGACCGCTCGGGTGGTGGGGAGTCGGCGCTTGGCGGCGGCAGTTCGGGGGCCTTCGTCCTCGCCAGATCTGGAGGCCTGCTACTCCATCCTTCCCGCTCCTTCCCCTCCGCGCTTGTGGCCGGTGGATGCTGCTGGTTCCGGTGCTTCTGGGGATGGTAGTGCAGATTGGGACCGGGGGAAACCCTAGGCCGGCTGGTTCGGCTCGACAGCGGTGTCGGCTTCGGGCGACGCATCCTTCCTGAAGGCGGTGTCGTGGTCCTTATGCTTGTCACCTCCGGACCTCTCTCGGGTGAAAACCCAAAATCCGGTCTGGATTGGGCAGCGGTGGCGCCATGGGCGTCATCCCCTCCTTGGAGGCGTTGCCTGGGGAGCTAGGATTCGGGTGTGGGCTCATGAAGGTGGGGGCTTTGGCTGCCGGCTGGATTTCTGCAGCTGCTCGCGGCGGCTTTCAGGTTGTGCAGAGTGCCCCTTGTATCTTGAGGGCATTTCCTGTTTTTCGTGTTCGCGTCGGAGGAGCGGCGTGGCATCTGGTACGTCGACAACGGCGAGTCTCGGCGGCATGGAGCAGTAGGGGTATCGCCGGTGGGCGTGTGATGATGGACGAGCGCAGGATGGTGGCGCTGTCTGGCATCGTGGTGGCGTCGATGGCAGAGAGGCCTGGCATGGTTCATGCAACAGTACAACTCTGAAGATGGATTGATGGTACGTGGCTGCAGCGGCCTCATACCCGGCAGGGGGCCTGGTTGAAGAGCATGCCGGACTGGTGGGTGCCCATACCCGGAAGGAGTCCTGGTTGGGAGCTCAGGTCTTAGATGTTAGGTTTGACTGCGAGGTCTGTTTGGTATTAGGCCCAGACCATCAGCACCCCTTCATCAGTTAGATAGGAGTAGCGACAGAGGTTGCGAAGATGGTGGCTTTGGTCTTACTGTTGTACGACTTTGTAAGGTCTTGTGTTATAATCAATAAAATGGCCGTATGCATCGTCCAGATGCAGAGGCCGGGGGTATTCCTCCTTTTCGAAAAAAAGAGCAGGCAGTGAAAAATGCAAATTCAACTAAAAAATATGAATGATGTGCAACCGGAAACAGAAGCAGACCTATATTTTTATGGTAATTAATTTGGATTACTATACTTTTGCTGGCAACATGAAGCTTGGTTCTATGCATGGCTTGGTTCCATGACTTTTGTTGTGCTCACAACTTTATTTTGGTCTATGAAGCTCCATACTGATATATTATATATTAGTTCATACATTTGTAAGATTACTATGTTTATACTTTTCACTTCATTATTATTAATTGGATTGTGGTTGGGAAATTTAAGGCTATTTTATATGTTGCGTATTCAAACACGAAAGTTCCCTTCTGCTCCCAAGCTGAGCTAGGAATGAACAGTAAATTCCGAAAAAAATGAAGAAAAAAAAATCTGAATTATTTTTGTGCAAACTTTGACAAATGTTCTCGGAGCATGCAAATTTTCATCCCGAAATATCATTCGTGAAAGTCATAGCAAAAAAGAAAGAAAAACAACACTCCAAAATGCTTTCAAAAATAGCAGTTTTTGTAGGACTAATTTGTTTGTCTTTACCACGACTTCCATGAATGCTATTTCAGGATGAAAACTTGCAAGCATTGAGAACATTTGTCAGTTTGCACCAATTTTTTTCTTCAGAATATTGTGAATTTTTTACTATTTTTTTCAATTTGACTGTTCTTTAGGGAGCATATGAGCTCGGGACTAGATACTCCAAGTCCATTTGAACAGCTTATTCCGATTTCAAGATTAGCTAGGCACTTAGCCTCAAGTTTGGCCAGCTTTCACAAAAGTTCTTACTACGCCACTGGCACCGTGGAAGGGTGTCACGATACCAAGATAAACGCAAAAAAAAAAAAAATCCTACACCTACGGTGAACCTATGTAAGTTTTACAAAGCTTTACAAATTAAAATCAAATCACTGCTGGAATGCGGCAGATGTGGAGTTTCCAAGGCTCCCCGAGTTCCTTTTATCGGGAGCTTAGCAGTGTAAGGTGGCTGCCGAGTTTCCAGGGAATTGAACTCTGTAGTGCCACAAAACTCGGCAAATATCACTGTGTACCCAGTGCCCGTAAAAAGGGACTTGACGACAAGGAGAAACTCGATGATGCCGCACATTGGCCGAGTTTCGCATGTCAGAAACTGGGCAATGCCCTGAGAGGCCGGCCCCACCAACGACTAGGCGACGGAGATGTGACGACGATCTATGTTTACTGTGTTTGCACTAACAAAAAGACAGCAATCTTTTTTCCTTTTCATTTTTTACTACAGAATTTCAGGGGTCACGTCGATGCCGGGCTCCCATGGAAAAAAGCTTGGCAAAGACCTTGTAGGCGGGCCCACGGGAGACGTGGCAACGACTATTGGACGGTTGGGCTTCCTATGCTGAGTTCCGAACTCAGCAAAGCACTGACCTTTCGTCTACCCCGCGCATATAAGCATGGGTGCACATCTCCCTCCTCTGCCTCACGTGGAAAATGTTATACCACAAATATTCCTTCGCTTGCTAAGCTACATGTCTGAATTTGACTGCATTCCAACATGTGTCTGAATTCTTGTTACTGCATTCTAAGGTCTGTCCGAATTCGACAGAGTTATAAATGGTGTTGAGCAAATGTACATTTACATGTTTTGGCCGACTACACAACACAACTGCACAAAGTGCTGATCATCCTCTATTCTAAATAAGCTACATCAGTAAGTACATTGGCACATAAAATTTTGGAGAATCTAATGTAAGTAATTGGATTTTTGGAGAATCTAATGTAAGTAATTGACAGAGAATGTTATTTCATTTACAACTTCTGTTATTCTTCCAGGTGTTGAATGCATCTTTATGTCATGACGCTTCAGTAAATGTATGTTATTATCAGATGAACAACCATGCAATTTTGATGGCCTTCTTGGCCAGCAAAGAATTAAAGGGTTGATCAGATCTGACCAGGGCCGAGTATAAATTCTTTGTATATCGTTATGTTCTGAGATCGATATGTGCAGGAGAGGGGCTTTACTTGCACTTGGTTTGTCATAACCATGCGTATCAGCTCCATGAATGGCATGGTAGCTTATTCGGCGCTGGGAGGGCGTGTGCCGATGTACTCAAAACCGATGACGAGGAATGCTAGGCCTTGAATGAAGAGGTAGATGTAGTACCCTTTGTTTGCGTAAAGCACGTCATAGCAACCACATATAATTATGCAGGTTCCCACAAAAATCTCTGAGCAGTTGTACCTGATAAAAGAACACACAAATCAGGCATTACTTGACAAAACTAGAAAACGTTCAAATCGGTAGTTTATATACAGTAAACCAAAGTAGTATATAGCATAATGTATTAGCTTTGAGACAATAGACTTTGCTTACTTGTCCCATAATCGTGTTCGCCTCTTCTCGAGCTTTGGTACTAGGGGCGTCGATAGCTCAACATCTATCACTTGCACATCATTTAATCCTTCCACGGCTGGCTCTGTCTTGTTGGCATCTCCCAATTTCTCAGTGACAACCCACTCATTGACTCGTCTAGCGTCGAGAAGACCAGTTATTGTGGCTTTTATCCGGTGCAATGACATCACATTATCAAAGAGGACCCAGAGGATCACCAAATGAAATGAACTGAAAGAGTGGCTTTCTGGTGTTAACTGAATGTAATAAACATTACAACTATCGTTCGATCTTAAGGTGCGTGTTACCTTGGTGATCCAAGAGCCTTGCAGAGGGTGATAACAGTTGGAACGTAGACCACGCCCCAGAGAGGTATCTGAATCTCAGGGAAGAAAACAGACACCGGGATCGCAAAGCAATAGTAGATGAATGTCACTGTATGAGCAGTGATCTTCCCAACAAAGAAGAAGTCATACAACAGGTGGAGTTTGCTCCAAAACGACACTTTCTGCACAGAGTAAATTAAATTTCAGGCAACAAGATGTTGTGTGTGGTGATGCATCCTTACATATCAAATAAATACAGACCTTGTTATGTAGAATCTCTACCAACATTTTCTTGAACAGGTTTGCTGGTCCACATGACCACCTGTGCTGTTGAAATCGGTATGCCTTGAATGTGCTTGGGAGCTCACTCTTGACCTAACCGTGCACAGGTCCAAGCATCCTTAGGTTTGTGTCTCGATGGGTTTGATTATTTCTGACAGAAAAGCAACTAAATAAAAGAGCATTATTTTTTGGCTTACTTTGACGGCGCCAACATACACGAACTTCAAGCCCAGCAGCGCCGTGCGAACAGCCAGGTCCATGTCCTCCACCGTCGTCCGTTCCTTCCACCCCCCGGCATCATTGATCGCCGAGATCCTCCAAACACCGGCTGTCCCTGGAAGATGCAAATATCCCAAACAAATCACTCACTCAACATGCTCATTTGGATACTTGAGCTATATATATAAGATATGGTTGTGTGCATGACAATGATGCAGAGGCCTGGGTTTAACCCTTCTTTTAAAGGGGTCTATGACGAAACCGAGTTTACATACCATTGAAGCCAAAAAACGAGTACACTATGGATCCAGCCTCTTGTTCAAACTTGAAATGGTAGTCCAGTGACATCTCCTGGAATCTTGTCAACAAACACTCATCTGAATTAACTGCACAACAAAGAGTACAAAATAAGCTTTAGATCCTGCTTATAAAGTCATAAACAGTAGTATTAGAACATAGTGCATGAGGGTTGGCTAACCGAATTTCCAACGAGTCTGGACGAGGGCGATGTCGGGGTTGTGCACGAGGAATGGGATTGTCCGCAGGAGGAAATCAGACTCGGGCTGGAAGTCAGCGTCGAACATGGCGATGAACTCGCACTCCCGCACGTAGTCGCGCATCAACCCTTCCTTGAGCGCGCCGGCCTTGTACCCCTTGCGGTTCTGTCTGACCTCGTACCTGATGTTCACGCCCTTGCTCTTCCATCTTTGGCACTCGATCTTCACCAAGTCCTGATAAAAATGAAACAGAAAGTACAATCGGTTTTTATCTGGCAAAATTGTGCTGTTGGGTAATCTATTATCCAAAACTCCGCAGCAAAAAACACGGAGCATGCCTTTCGAAACTGCATCTACCACTGACAATTTGTCTCAAATAATAGCATCTTCTCTGTAAAAAACCAAGGGTGTAAATAGCTCTCGGAATTAACCAAGTCTCATTTAACTCCTACACCATTTGAATTTACATGAAGATCTTAAGAATTGCTTTTGACTAATTTTCATCGTAAACCGGACTAGTCTTGATGATGAAATTAACCCTGTGGACGCCAGCTTCAAGAGTGTAGTGCTCGTGATTGATTTATTCAGGAACGAGTCCTCCAACATAGTACTACCCTCTTGGCCTCTTCATTTCAAATTTTTTTTGAAGTCCTGGGTGTGTCCTAAGTCAAACTTGCTTAGCTTTTACCAAATCTATGGAAAACGTGCTAAGATGTAGTACAACAGTAAATGTGCCCTGTGGGAAAATAAATTTCATAAAGAATCAGATGAGACTAATTTGATGCCCTAGATGTTACTCCCTCCTTCCCAAAATATAAGGCACTTTTTCGGTCTTCGTTGCACAATTTTAACTATAATTTTCATGTATTATATGTCTAGAAAATTAGTATACATATATATGAAATAAAATTATTTTGCAAGACAAATACGACGATGTCATTTATACCTGTTTAATTTGTATACTTTGACATATATTAGTGGTCAAAGTCATGCATCAAAGACCGTCAAAAGTCAACCGCGCCTTATATTTTGGGAAGGAGGGAGTAATATTTTTTTCTATAAACTTAGTCACATAAACAAGTTTGATTTTTGGGAAATCCAGAACTTGAATTATTTTAGAACGTAGGTAGTACATACTGTTACTTCGACAATGTTGGAATGTGGCACCCCGAATGGAACAAAGAGTGTGTGCCGCGCACTACTAAAGGAGTACTAGTACCAAACCCCACGTGCTGCTCGTCATGTGGATCCAGCACAATCGATGCATGTGAAAACTATACGTAGTGTGTAAATTTTTTATTTTCTTTCTTTTTTGCTTTTCTGTGAGGCTCGAAAAGATAAGTGAAGCGTTGACTAGGAGGCCGATCAAGGTAGATCCAGCCACCTAACCCACTGTCACGTCTCCTCACGTTCCATCTTGGTCACATGACCCGCCACTCCGCCAGGTATTTTGGTTAGTTATAATATGCCAAAGAATTTGGGAACATGCTCTGGCGACGCCAGGTATTATCATGGATCCCAGATTGATTGTGTTTCACTGCACATGCATGTTGTTGGCCACTGCTTGCCAACGATCGATTTCTATGTGCAGGATTTCATCTCCACCTATCACGGCCGGTAAGAAAAATCTAATCTAAACGCTCTTATATTTTTTTTACAGAGGTAGTAGTTGGTAAGGCAGATTGCAAGCAAAAAACCAACCCATAATACAAGAGTATGTGTACGTGCTGCCAGGGACGACCGATTGATTCATGTGTGTACGTGCTGCCTGCTACTTAGATGCTTGCGCCTGGTTAATTGATTGATTGATCAATTACGTACCTTTACAACGAGGTCGGTGGAGTCGTCAAGCACCTGGATCACCATGCGATCCGACGGCCACTCCAGCGCACATGCTGCTCCGATCGACACCTTGTACACCTTCATTCCATCCATTCAATCCAATCCAAACAAACGATAGAACAAATTGATCAGCAAACAAAACCACCACAGCACCAGCTTGCCGCCGGTCAAAATCGATCAGCATTCTCCTATTGAGCACCAGGGAGGAGGTCACCTCGCGCTCGTTGTACATGGGGATCTGCACCAGCACCACGGGGAACGCCGCGCTGCCGACAACCACAATGCCGTCCTCCTCGTCATCGCCGCCAGTTTTGCATGCTGATGCGGCGATCGGCCGCCACTGGTACCGGCTCTCGGGCCTGTGCCCGAAGGCCTTGGCGGCGTAGCACACGGCGGCGACGAAGAGCTTCTCGAGCAGGATCATCACGGTCATGGCCAGCGACAGGAGAACCAGCAGCCGTACGGCCGGCACCACCAGGAACGCCCGCGCTTGCTCGCCGGCCCACGCGCATTGCGCGGCCACGGCCGGCCAGTCCACCCGCACCGGCACCTCCACCCACAGCCACGCTGTCGCCGCCATGGCCATGACCTCCTCGCCGGCGCCGGATCGTCTAGCTAGGAGGACTGGGTGCAGATGCTAGCACGACTGGGCTAGAGACTAGAAAGGTAGATGGAATAGTGCAGGCTTATATAGATAGTGTGGAGGGATGGAGGATGCATGCACATGGAATATGTGCGTGGTGAGTTTTTTTTGGTCATCTGGTGGTTGGCGACATGCATGGGAATGTTGCCACGAGGCTATGTAGTGGGGTGACCTGTCACCTGTGAGTGTGGAAGTAGTAGGAGCATTACTCCCCAATCCGCGTACAGGCCAAGTAGTGGTCATCTATTATATATTGGTGTAGAACTGTGATAGATAGATCATAGATAAAGTAAAATGGGTGAGTGACATGCATGGTAACGGAGAATTGAGCGTAGCTCGGTTGGCAAGGCGCGGGAGTTCGCAGTCATCCCATCAGGGTTCAAGTCTTGGCTTGAGCGTTTGGTGCGGCGACGATCCCCTCAAAGACAGATCGGCTGGCCATGTGATGTGGGGGGTGAGTAAGATGGAGAGATGTCGGGTGCAGGGCGGGCTGTGGGAGAAGGTGACCATGAGGAGATGCAGGGTGGCTTCGCCGGAAGAGGGCGGGACGGCCAAGTGGTGGCATACCCAGTCGACGCGGTGCTGCCGGGGAAGAGAATCTTATCGCCAGCCACCAGTCTCGCTGTATTTGGACTCTCAAGGTACTCACATCCTCCATCGGTCTAGTCACTCCTGATTTTGTTTGGCCTCTCAAGGTACTCACATCCTCCAGCGGTCCAGCCCCTCCTGAGTTATTTGGCCTCTCCTGGTACTCACATCCTCCAGCGGTCCTGTCCCTCCTGATTTATTTGGCCTCTCAAGGTACTCACATCCTCCAGTGGTCCAACCCCTCCTAATTTATTTGGCCTCTCAAGGTACTTACTGTTGGGGTATCCTCCTCATGTGGGCTGTGAGAAGATGACCATTTGAGGCCTTTTAGGCAGCCCAAGAGGTGCAGAAGCCCACTACCCATTAGGGTTATGACCTAGGGTCACTTTGGACTTTGTACATGAAGCAAGAGAAGTATGTTCTGTTTTGTGACAGTCAGAGTGCTATTCATCTTGCTAAGAATTCAAGCTATCACACTCGAACCAAGCACATTGATGTGAGGTATCATTGGATTCGAGGTGCTGTGAGTTCCAAGTTGCTAAAACTTGAAAAGATCCATACCGACGACAATGGTTCGGATATGATGACTAAGATATTGACAAATGAGAAGCTACAAGTATGTTGCAAGGTAGCGGGCATGGCGATGCTCCTCTCATGAGTCGAAGGGGGAGATTTGTTGGGATATCCTCCTCATGTGGGCTGTGAGGAGATGACCATTGGAGGCCTTTTAGGCAGCCCAAAGAGGTGCAGAAGCCCACTACCCATTAGGGTTATGAACTAGGGTCATTTTGGACTTTGTACATGAGTGGATGGGGATACTTTACCCTCCATCCAGCAGGCACCACCAAGAGTGGCGAAAATCAATTCATCCTCCAAGAGAGAAGAAGAGAGAAAACCAAGAGAGCAAGGGAAGAAGAGGAAGATTGAAGGAAGAAGCAAAGGGAGCTCCTCCCCAAGGTTGTGATGGTCCAGATCCACTACCTTGCCTCTTTCAAGCTTCGGTTCCATCATCTTTGGTGAGATTGTTCCAATCCCTAGATCTTGAGCCCCCAAATCTTGTTGTGTTCATCCAAGATTCAGAAATCTTGATGTATGAGATCATCTAGTGCCGTCTAGAGAAGAACTTGTTGTATCCCACATTTGATAATAGTGAAAAGAGGATTTGGGTGGCTTCGGCCTGTGGTTTTTCCCCTCAAGTTGAGGGGTTTTCCACGTAAATCTGGTGTCTCTTTGTTGATGCTTGGTGCTGTCCAGAAACTTACTCCTACCACAAGACACGAGGTTGAGGAGTGTCTTGCCGGCTGCTTAACATTTTCTGCCTCCATATATGCCGCTGCATATGTTTCCTTCCGTGCTAAGCAATGATCCTTGAGTTAGTACATGATGTGGTGCTGAGATTACTTTGTTTCCGTTGCAGTTATCAGTTAACCACAAGTGCATTTGTGTGCTAATTCCCAACATAGTGGTATCAGAGCCTTGGTTGTTTAGAAGGTTGCAAATCCCAGTTGCTTGATTGTTGCTGGAAGTGCTGCTCACAATGGCTTTGGAAGAAAGTGCTACTACAAGTGGCATGATAAAACTTGATTATTACAATTACTCATTATGGAAGCCCATGATGGAAGACATCCTTTATTGCAAGGATTTGTATGAGCCAATTGTGAAAGACAAGATACCCACAGGTGTCACGGAAGAAGAATGGAGAGTGTTGCACAGAAAGGCAGTAGGCATGATTCGGTTGTACATCAACCACAATATTTTCCACCATGTTGCAAATGACACAAATGCATATGAGATGTGGCAGAAGTTGAAGTCCATGTATGAGAGGAAGACATCAATAAATAAGGCCTCGGTGATCAGAAGACTTGCAAAAGCTTGAGTACCGAGATGGCACAAGTGTGATTGAGCACTTGAATGTCTTCCATTGCCATTAAATCAACTTTCAGCCATGAAGATCAACTTTGAGGATGAGGTGCAAGCATTGTTGCTGCTGAGTTCCATGCCTGATAGTTGGAACACGTTTGTTGTGTCACTTAGCAATTCAGCTCCGGATGGGAAGCTGACTTTGGAGATGGTAAAGAACAGTATGCTGAATGAAGAAGCTAGAAAGAAGGAAAAGGGTGATGCCTCTTCTTCTGATGCGTATGTGGCTGAAACCCATGGGAAGAATGAGAACCGTGGACGCAACAATACTAGATTTCAGCAAGGCAAAAATAAATCCAGGGAGAGATCAAAGTCAAAATAGCGAAAAGATATTACTTGCTTTCATTGGCAATCCGGGACACATAAAGAGCGAGTGCAAAAAGTACAAAAGAGAGCTTGCAGAGGGGAAACTCACAAAGAAAACCGAGCAAAAGGCTAAGACCAGTTCAGCCATGACCGCAACAGATGAAGACTATCTAGTCATTGAAGATGAATATTGCTATAGTGTTGTTTGTGATGAGGCCATGAGTTGGGTTGTGGATTCAGATGCGTCCTTCCACATCACATCACACAATGAGTATTTCACATCTTACATTAGTGGTGTTACCGGCCAAGTGAGGATGGAAAATAGTGGTTCGTCAGCAATTGTTGGAAAGGGCTCTATATGCATTGAAACAAACACAGGTTGCAGATTGGTGCTCGATGATGTGAGGCATGTTCCCTACATAAGGCTGAATTTGTTATCAGTGGGCAAGCTTTATGATATCAAACATCCTAGTTATTTTGATGAAGGAAAGTGGAAGCTCACCAAAGGCTCCTTGATTGTGGCTCGAGGAAGTAAGCAATGTAATCTCTATGTGACTAAAACCAAGTTGTGCAATGAGGTGTTGAATGTTGCTGAAAAAGACACTTCGGTTGAATTGTGGCACAAGAGGCTTGGGCATATGAGTGAGAAGGGCATGCATGCTCTTGCTCGCATGGAGTACCTCCCTGAGTTGAAAGGTATATCCTTAAAACCCCGTGCACATTGTTTTGCTGGCAAACAACATAGGGTTGCATTTCGTACACTCCCTCCACATCATGCAGAAAATGTTCTTGATATTGTGCACACTGATGTTTGCTCCATGACTGAAAAATCTCATGGTGGAGCATTATACTTTGTGACTTTTATTGATGACCATTCTAGAAAGGTTTTTGTGTATGTGTTGAAACACAAATACCAGACATTTGAAGCCTTCAAGGAGTTCCATGCCAAAGTTGAAAGAGAAACCAGCAGGAAATTGAAGTGCGTGAGATCAGACAATGATGGTGAATACAGAGGTCCTTTTGAAAGGTATTGCAGAAATGTTGGCATCAGGCTTGAGAAGAGTCCACCAAAGACACCCCAGCTCAATGGTCTTGCAGAGAGAATGAACAGGACACTCACAGAGAGGGTCACAGCTATGCTCTCTCATGCTCATTTACCTAATTCATTTTGGGCTGAAGATTTGATGAATGCTATGTATGTGGTTAACCTATCTCCCTCAGTTCCTCTTACACGTGATATTCCTCAGAGAGTTTGGTCAGGGAAGGAGGTATCATACAAGCACTTGAAGGTCTTTGGTTGCAGAGCATTTGTACATGTTCTAAGGGACGAGAGTGTTGGGGAACGCAGTAATTTCGAAAATTTTCCTACGCACACGCAAGATCATGGTGATGCACAGCAACGAGAGGGGAGAGTGTTGTCTACGTACCAACGTAGACCGACTGCAGAAGCGATCACACAACATAGAGGAAGTAGTCGTATGTCTTCTTCCCGATCCGACCGATCCAAGCACCGTTACTCCGGCACCTCCGAGTTCTTAGCACACGTTCAGCTTGATGACGTTCCTCGGGCTCCGATCCAGCAAAGCGTCGAGGAAGAGTTCCGTCAGCACGACGGCGTGATGACGATCTTGATGTACTACCAACGCAGGGCTTCGCCTAAGCACTGCAACGGTACGATCGAGGTGGAATTTGGTGGCAGGGGGCACCGCACACGGCTAAGGAACGATCTCAAGGATCAAATTGTGTGTCTTGGGGTGCCCCCTGCCCCCGTATAT